GATCACATCATTTCTTAATTTATATGCCCTGACCACATTCGATTTTTGTGAATAGGTATCAGCAATACTGTCCCATATTTCCTTAGCAGAATTCATCCACAGATAGTGCTGACTAATTTGGGGTTGCATCGAATTCACTAACCACCCAATAACTGTGTAATTCTGCAACCATTTCTCATAAGATGGGTCATTTTCCTTTGGTGCTTTCTTGCTACCGGAAATATATCCCCACTTGCCTCTACTACAAACATGTATCTTTATTGATTGTGACCATGCTAGATGGTTTTTTTGGTAGAAACCATGCTAGATAGTTAGTCCCATCAAACTTGACTGTGGTCACAACCAATAAAGAGTCTATAAGTGCTCCCAAAATTTGTCTGGACTCTGAGCCCAACTTATTTTCAACTCTAGAAACATCCATCTTCCTCAAAAAAATCCCAAAACAATTTTCAGATGACAATTGAGAAAGACAGAAAATACAAACACCAAGTACCAACCTTCATAGTTCCCTATCAGCACAACTGCGCCTTACTCACGTGATGCATTCTGGTTTTTTATTATGGCAAGACTATTCCCTTTCTCTAATAACTCCTACAATTACTCCCCATAACCCCTATAATTACTCCCCCCTCTCTGTAATAACTCATAATTACTCTCTCTCTTTCTTAATAACTCATTTATTTAATTCTACAATTAAGCAATATTCAAATTCAAATTTGAATTTATCATATGTATTAAACACACCTTAAACTACCTAAATAAACTACAAGTGAGAGAATTTGAACCCTAGTCATTAGTTTGTAATGATCATAAGTCTACCTTTATGCCATATTATAGTTGGTTGTCATAAACATATGCACTTTAATTCTTAAGTAAATTTTCTCAAGGAATGTAATGCTAAAGTTGATACATTAATTTATATACTAATAAAAAGTAATACAAATTATATTGATTTTATGAAAATTAAGGTATATACAGATAAATTTTAATTCTTCCATCATTTTTCAACAGTAATCAATTGTGTTCCGATGTGTCACAGTGTATATAAACCATTGAAGTATGGTATTTTATGTTTAAATAACTCATGCATAGTCATGTTTAAATAACTCTTGCCAAGGGAAGATGAGCTTGAAGATAAGAGAAGAAAAGAATTGTATGGTAATGCTGGAAGGACCTGAAGTAGTTAGTTGGTTGTGGGATTTTATAACTGGAGCATGTTCAAAAGGAAAACAAACAAGCTGGCAGGAGTATAGTACTGAGGAAGGCAAGAGGTACGTGGTTGAGTGCAAGAGAAATGCCAAGGGATTCTACATAGCATTGACTGAATTTTTTGTTAGGGGAAGGAAGCAATTAGTTTGTTTCCCAGAAGGAAGACAGAGCTGTGACTGGGAGGAAATTAACAAAATGCTCAATAAGTTCTGGTTCTATAGAGTGATAGTAGGTAGGAAGCCATGGAACTGGAGCCTGTGGTTATGGTGAAAACAAATGGACAGTGCAGAATGGTGGGTGCTTCAAAGAGAGAAGAGTGGGACAGCAAGCTTTTTATCCAAGCAAAGGAGCAGGTTAGAGATTGGAAAAGAGTTGCTAACTTACTGACCCTGAGATTGAAGCTGAAAGGAGAATTCATTATAACTCTCTTCATTAAATGTAAAGCTCTGCTAGATCTGGAAGAAAATAAGGTAGATATATTGGCTATTAGCATTCAATCTGGGGTTGGAACCTTCACTGTATTCAAATGGAGCCCAGAATCTAACTCAAAGGAATTCTTTGTTGAAGGTGGTGTGCTGGTATGTGTCGTAGGTCTGCCATTCCATCTGTGGGAGCAAGAAGTGACAGAGTGTATAGCTCTGATGTGTGGAGGACGATAAAAGGAGTTTAGTGGGGTGACCTTCACTCTGCAGCTGTTCTGTTAAGTGGTGTGAAGCCTGAAGACATCCCAAGGAAAGTAGAGATAAGAACTGAGGGGTACTTTGCATCCGTTTGGCTGGCTTCCTCCATTGAAGCTGGGTTGTAGGAGTCTCGCATGGAGGGAGGTAAGAAGGTAGAAGAAGATGTCTTATGTGGTTTATGGAGATTGGATAATTCAAATGCAAAGAAAAATTACACTAAAAAGGGCCAACATTTCCTGGGAAACCAAAAAGACTTGGGGTAGGTGGAAGGTCAAAGGAGTAGAGAGCAAGAAAACCCCCTGGCAAGTGGCAGAACTTTTGTACAGGTGATTTTCATGTTATGCGATTCACCGGAGAAACTATCAATCCCCTACAAACAGTAACAACTAGTATGAGGAAATTTAATGGCTTTATCAAAGATTGTGAGCTAAAGGAAATCCCACTCTTGCAATCCAGATTCACTTGGTCCAATCCACAGGAAACTTCCCCTTGTTTGAAACTAGATAGGTTCCTTTTTAATTTAGCTCGGTAGAATTATTTGGGAGACCGTTTCTAGAGCCTTGCCTAGGGTCACTTTTAATCATTGTCCTATTAAAATAGGGGTGGAGTTGTTTGTTACTAGACCTAGACCTTTCAGATTTAAAACATGTGGTTAGCTCAATTGGATTTTGTGAATAAAATGGAGTGGTGGAGTGAGGAGTTAAGTGGGATAAAATGGAAGGGCGTAAAATTCCATAAGAAATTGCAGAGATTAAGATTCAAAATAAAAGAATGGAATAGAAATTACTTTGGGAGAATTGACGAGCAAAAAATGAGCTTAATATCTCGGATTGAAGAATTGGATAAGAAAGAATTTCAAAATAATTTGAATGAGAGTGATAGAGATTTGAGAAGACAGCTAAAGAAGGATTTGGAAGAGGTGCTCTTGAGAGAGGAAATAAGTTGGTGGCAGAAATTAAGGCACAGGTGGATTAAGGAAGGTGATGGGAATACTAAATTCTTTCATGAATTGGCAAATGGGAGGAGGAAGAATTTTGAGACCAAATTAGAGGTAGGAGAGGTGTTTACCAATTAAGACAAGATAGCCAGGAAGTTTGTAGACCACTTCAAATCTATTTTTAGAAGACCTTTGATTGAGAGGTGAGTAGTGTAAGGGGTGGAATGGTCAAAGTTGGCTGAGGAAAAGGCTAGGTGGTTAGAAAAGAATTTTGAGGAAGAAGAGATTTAACAAGCAGTGTTTTTAATGGGCAAAGCTAAGGATCTGAGCCCAAGATGGCTTCATATTGTCTTTTCTATCAAGATTGTTAGAAGATAATAAAAGATGATTTGTGTGATATCTTTAAGGAATTTGTAGAAAAGCACATAGTAAGCCATGGAGTTAATGCTATATTTTTGGCTATTATCCCTAAGAAGCTTGATGCTAGCCACCCAAAAGACTTTAGACTGATTGGTTTGGCAACAAGTATTTACAAAATCTTGGCTAAAGTGCTCTCTTTGAGGAAGTAGTTCTTTCCTCTATCATTAGCCAAGCCCAAGGGGCTTTCATTCAAGGGCGACAAATAACTAACCAAATCTTGATTGACAATGAATGTGTGGAGGAGATGAGAAGGTTTGGGAAAAGATATTTTGTTTGTAAATTGGATCTTGAAAAGTCCTACTATTTGATGTATTGACAATTTCCTTTAGAGGTGTCGAGGAATTGTAGGTTTGAGAGAGGTGGTGTAAATGGATGTTTGGGTGTGTTAGTACCTGTCATTACTTAATCTTGGTTAATGGAGTGGTGAAGGATTTCTTTCTTGCTTGTAGGGGTGTTAGGCAAGGGGGCCCACTTTTACCTTTCCTTTTTACCTTAGTAGCTGATGTTTTTAGTAGAGTCATCACTAAGGCCAATAGGGAAGATATTGTAAGGGGTTGGATGATAGGTAGAAGTTGGGCCCCAATCATCCATCTTCAGTTTGCAGACAACTTGCTGATTTTCTGTGAGGGGGTGCTAGAGAGAAGGTAGCAAATTTAAAAGAGTTGATTAAAATAAATCTGGAAAAGAGTTGTAAAGCAGGTATTAGTTTGGAGGATAGGGAGGTCGGGGCTATTGAAAAGTGTCTTTGAGTGTTTCATCTCTTTTTGGTCATTGTCCTATTTAGGCCTTCCATTGGGGGCAAACCCTTGGGAGTAGGTTTTGGACTATAGTGACAGAAAAGTTTGAGAAGAGATTAGCACCGTGGAAGAACTACATCTCCTTGGGTGGTGAACTACTTTAGCGAACCTAACTACTTATTTTCTCTATGTCATTAGGATACCACCTATGGAAGCTACGAAGGTGGAGAAAGTAATGAGAGATTTCCTTTGGGAACCCAGTCTTGCCAAGAGTGGAGGCATTTGCTTGGCTGGTTTACCTCGACAGTATTCTAACCACAGATCACTTGAAGAAAAGAGGCTTTTTCCTTCCAAGTTTCTGCTATTTGTGCAAAATGGACGAGGAGACAGTGTTTCATCTGCTCTATTTGTGCAAAGTGGCAAATTTCATCTGGAATTTCTACTGCTTTCTTTTTGGAAAGTTAGTCTTCCAGCCATGATCTCCTGCTGAGATTTTCTCTAGAGTCTAGATGGCGAAAAATTAGTGGCAGAAAGAAAACCAGAATTATGTGGAGCTGTATTCCTTTTGCAGTTTGGTGGTCACTGTGGGCTGAAAGGAATAGAAGAGCATTTGAAAACAAAGCAAAAAGTATGGAACTAATAGTTTCTGCTCTGGGTTCATTGGTATCAGACTGGGTGCTGGTTCTGCCAGAGTTTGATCAAGTTAGAATAGTAGTGACAATAGTTGGTATTATAAGACAGTATGGTATTATGCTGATTAAAATGGGAAAAAATATTTATTTTTTTCTTTTAACTTTGGTTGGGGTTTGTTCAACCTCAAAAGTCATCTATATGAGTCAATGAGATTGATTCTGTTATGATATCTATATTGACTTTTTCTTCAATTATTTCTAGTTGATTTATTTTGTCATTCCCTAGTCTTCTCTCCTTTCTTCCTGATATCTGCATATCTTATCTTGGATGTGAAAATGACTTTTTTTTTTTTTTTAAATTTTCTTTGTTGGATGCTTTCTGCAGTATTTCCTGTATCAGATTCTCCGTGGGTTGAAATACATACATTCTGCCAATGTTCTACACAGGGACTTGAAACCTAGCAATCTTCTCTTAAATGCTAATTGTGACTTGAAGATATGTGATTTTGGGCTTGCGCGTATTACCTCTGAAACTGATTTCATGACGGAATATGTTGTTACAAGATGGTATCGGGCACCAGAGCTGTTGCTAAACTCATCAGAGTATACTGCAGCAATTGATGTGTGGTCTGTGGGTTGCATTTTCATGGAATTGATGGATAGAAAACCCTTATTTCCTGGCAGAGATCATGTGCATCAACTTCGTTTACTAATGGAGGTAAAATCATCATTTACTACAATATTATTCATATGATTTTAGTTACAAAAAAGATGTACCAATTACTGTTACATTATTGTTTATCTGAAAAGGCCTCACTGTTGTGGAAGAGCAATGTTTCTACTAGAAAATTGAATGCACATATAGAAACTCTACAGTACTATCTGCACAAAGAACAAGTGCTTACTCCGTTATTACAAAAGCTTGCCATACTCTTTTGTCAAATTATTTTGGTGATTCCATGTTCTATATTGGACAGATTATTGCTTTATTCTTAGTATCTTCAATTTGGGATTGTTTTCTTTCCTTGTTTGGGTGTAGGTGGAACCCCCCACCAAATACACAAAGCCTGTTTGACCTTTCCTTTGTTAGCTAGCAGAAGAAGAGGGAAAAAAACTTTATGGAGGTGCATAAGGTCTGCGGTTTGTTGGACAATATGGGAAGGGAGGAATCAAAGAACTTTTGCAGAAAGAGAATAGGGATGCTCTAATTGAAGTAATCACCGTTAGAGTGATCCGTTGGGTGAAAACTTTAAAAATATTTAAGGATATTTCTGCTACAGATTGATGAGGAGCAGGAAGGAAGTGGCTGATTCTGTTCCTAGTAAGGCTGTCTCGAGGCCAATTTGGTCTCCTCCAATCAGTGGTTTTATTAAGCTGAACTTCAATGGTAGAAGTGAAGGAATCTGGTTCCCTCAAGAATTGAGGATTTTTCAGAAACGGTGAAGGAAGAATTATTGGCCTTTTTCTAGTACCAATTGGCGTGGGAGTTTTTTTGAGGGCTGAAATTCTAGCTGCTTTGGAAGGGGTTCAAAAAGCCAAGGAGATGAATATTCAAAAAATGATAATTTAATGGGGTTCATAGTTGGTTATAAGCTGGCTTCAGAAGGAAGAGGATCTAGGTTGGTGGGACTACATTAATGAAAAAGAAGGTTTAAGTGGTTAACAGGAGGAATGAAAGTGAGTATGATTTGGGTGAAAAGAGATGATAACTCCTTTGCTGATGCATCTAGTTTTAATATTAATCATCATTCATTACATTGGCTTCCATAGTTGTCTAAGTGTTTAGGCAATTCTGGGCAAGAATGGGTTGCCTAGTTACTAGGAAATTGACCTAAAAGAATTTCTTATTGTTTTAAAACTAAGACAAATCCAACATTAAGGAGTGGAACGTTCAACATTTTAGAAGATTAGAAGAGAGAAAACAAGAGTTAATTAGTAGAATTGAGGACTTAGATGCAAAAAAAGCTTTGGACACCTTTGAAGGAAGAGATAACGAGGAGAGGTGGTCTTTGACGAGGATTTTGGAGGATTTGTTACTTAAGGAAGGGATCAGTTGGAGACAAAAATCAAAGAACACTTGGCTTAAGGAGGGAGATAGGAACATCGGATTTTTTATGCTCTGGCTAATGGAAGGAAGAAAATTTTTCTTTCAAAATTGGTGGGGGATGGAGTAACCTTGACCTAGCAATCTATCATGGTGAGATTGCCCGAGTTTTTGTGGTTCACTTTAAATATATTTTTAAGAGACCGTTGGTTAATAGTGTGTGTCTTGATGGTTTGGATTGAGCTAAACTTTCTAAGGAGTATATGGTTTGGTTGGAAGGGAGTTTTGAGCTAGAGGAGATTAAGAAAGCGGTATTTTCTATGGATAGATCCAAATAACTGGGTCCCGATGGTTTCACAATGGCTTTCTATCAAGATTTTTGGGATGTGCTGAAAGTTTGTCAGGCAGTGTTTATGCCCTTTGCTCCAATTGATGTATTGTACATAATTTTGTTATGAAAAGAATGCTTATTTCATGTATCATCTAGTTGTTCTACTAAATACCCTTAGTTCATATAAGTATTATGTATGAAACCACATGATTGTTATAATATGGACTTAAAACTTCACAACTAGTGGATGCACTGGGGGAAGTCTATCTTGACAAGGTTGTCATTTTTGCACTGTCCAAGGTTGTGGAGCTAGCTGCTTGGGTTGTGACCTAAGGTGTGAGGATGGGTGTTTACAAGAAACATTGAATTGGATCAAACCCAACATGTTCCTGGACTTTCCGACAAGTGGAACAACTGGGTGTTTCTTTTAATCCTTAGACTTGATATTGATGTCAGATTGAGTATTAGATTTGTCTGTCTTTGATATGACAACTAGTGAGATCCGTCTAGAGTCAAATATCTCGGTATGTTGGGACATTCAAGGATAGTATGTCGATTGATGATCAATGTGATAGGTACTATTATGTTAAGACATAGAGAACACTTTGTAGAACTTTCTCCTTGGAGTTCTGAATCTACTGACAGTAGGATTATCTGAATCCTCAATGAAGGATCCAGTGGTGTTGGGAGTTGGATGCCATGTCATAAAGATAGAGGAAAAAAGTCCTTCCCTTAATGTGGTGTCAAGTGTTTATAGAAGATAGATTGATTGCAAGTGATTAATTGGGCTATATTGACTTGAGTATCACATAATGGGGATGGGCTGAACCTTAATGGGCTTGATCACTTAAGCCCATAGGCCATAACAACTATGGTCGAATTAGCCTATAATGGCTAGTAAAAACTTAAGCGGCCAACCCCACTAGCTTGTATAAAGCATGTGACATGTTGGCACTCTCATTAAGTTGTGTGCCCCACACCATACAAGTTGTAGTCTCCTAATTGGGTAAATATTTTCCAGCATTAATGGGGTGCTAATGGATAATTATGAGTCTTACTTAAGAGTCCTAGTCAAACTTTGTTCTAGACAAGTCTAGTAAGACTAGGATTTGACTAGTTTGATTAATTAGATGGACTCCAATCTAATGGCTGATTTAAGAGAGCTAGACTCTCTCTAATCTTATCCTAAATATGTTAGGACATGTAAATAGATTAGGAAAGGACTCTTGCAGCAATCCCAAGTCTATAAATAGAGAGGAATTAGAAGGGATCGAACCACGCAAGTTCTCAATTACTAGCTGAATTCTATCCCACCATTGTGAGACCTTTAGACTAGGGTTTTGAACCCCATTCAACTAGACCTTTTACCCATTCTTTCTAGCACTACTACAGCTTTTTTTTGGTCAAGAAAATCACCCAAAAACGTGAGAAAGGTCAGACCTTTGCTGCTGTACAGTCTGGAGAAGAAATCCAAGACCAATGAATTATTTGGGGATGTCTTTGGGGGATGATCCTAGAGGTATTAACTTTTGGAATCCGGTAATAGAGAGGTTTACTAAAAATTGGTTTCCTAGAAGAAAAAATATTTATCTCTAGGAGGATCACCCTTATTATGTCCACTCTAGCCAACTTGCTTGCCAATTTATTTCCTATTAGTGTTTAGAATTCCAGAAGGGATTATAAGAGGCTAGAAAAGATGATGAGGGACTTTTTGTGGGAGCAAGAGGAGGAGAAAACGGACCATAGAGTGTGTTGGGAAGTGGTTAGAAGCAGCAAAAAATATGATGGGCTTAGTTTGGGGAATATTCAAGAAAGGAATGTTGCCTTGGTAGATAAGTGGCTCTAGGGGTTGCCAATTGATAGAGACAAGCTGTGGGCAAAGGTAATTAGCAGTGATGGTTGTGATGCTAGAGTTTTGGTTGGGGATACAAGGGCTTCATCTTGGAAGTCTTATTATGTTATCCTACCTTCCTCTCTACCTCATATCAGGTATAATCCTTGTTCTTGTAGTCTTCTAAAATTTTGGGATCATCTCTGGTTGGGTATCTCACCCCTAAAAGAACAATTCCCCTCCCTTTTTCAATTTCTAACTGGAGGAATAAGCCCATTTCTTCCTTCATGGTTCCCTCCATATCAAGCTTAGGGTTTGATTGAGACTTGGGGATTCGAAGAGGATTGCACACCTCTAAATTAGATAGTGCTTTAACTTTACTTCATGGTC